AGTATCAAACACGAGACCTTGTTTTAAGAGATTGAGTTAAATGTCATTGAAATTAATAACTTGTTGGTTAATTAAGATACGCTATATGCACAACATGTAAAGAGACATAAAATTAATCTCCAACTTTTAACCACTAACTTGTAAGAAAATCTATGACTTAATGGTACGTAAAGGTGTTTGATTTACTAATTTTGTTAATGAGTAATAATTGATTGATTATGTTAGATTTCAACTTAAAACTAATTGACATTTAACGAAGATATCCAATAAATATATAAATTATACTAAAAAAAACTAACAAATTATGCTTATAAAATCTCTATTTCTAATTTTCTATACTTAATCTAAAATCTTACCCAAAGAGATTGACTTGAGTTTTACTTAAATTACTTCTTAAACTTCTTGTTGCTAAGAATTTAACATAATTAATGAAAAAGATTTCTGTAAACACTTTGAGAAAGATAGTAAAATAAAAAAGATAAATAATTAATATAATTTATCGTATGATATAATTAGAAAAGAAAGAAAAAGATAAAGAAAAATGTCGGGTCTCAATCGTTTAAAAGTGTAAATAAACCCTAAACCTTACATAATGAAAATGTATAATATATAAAGTGCAGTTAATGCAGGTTGGAGGAAGCTTTAGAAGCTGTCACCAATCAGCTTTATGACTGGAATGATGCTGCTATCCCACTTTTGTTGTGTCCTTCATGATGGACAGATCAAATACTATGTTTAGACTGAGCCTAATGATTTCTACGAAAATGATTAGACTGAGCCTAATGATCTTCATTAATGCAATGATCATGATGATAAGATTCGTAGCTAGCAGAAGAAATTGCTGCTGAAATCCAGAGAGAAAGACAAGCAGAGGTGCTTGAGAGTTGAGATGTCATTTCAAAGTACAGTCTGAATGCATGATAGCGTTAATGCAACTTGACTCTTCTCAGCCAAGCCAACAAAATCGGAACTCCACGTTCCTTTATCTGCTTTTTCATTTATTTATCCTTTATGGTAAAACCTCTCTGAACTTTTCACCCTGGACTTGAACATATATGTTACATAATGGTACTCTATGACTGTTGTAGATTTAACATAATAGTAAAATGGGTGATGAAAACGATGCCTAATTATGTGGTTCTTTGCATTGTAACGTCAATCTGTCACAACATCCCCAACCTGTCAAGAACGATGTGATGGAACATTGTAACTTTAATAATTTATTTTCTTTTGTATGAATGCTGATGGATATATATAATTTATGCGCGTGCATCAAATTAACCACAGCGGAGTGGATCAGTACTCGTCATCGGCTTCGCCATGCATGTACCGCAGCAAATGCTCATAAATCACCCTTCTGCTGTTACGCATTTCGATTTGTCTCATATAAAATAAATATTATTTTAATAATGAAAGATTAATTTATATTTATAAAATATATTTTTTTTAGTTAAATATTATTTTAATATAAATAAGTATTGAACATGAAAGCAACATATCAACACCTATGTCTCACAAGATTATATTTAGCAATGTTTTGTAAAAAATACTAAAAATTTATAGGCTAACTCTAAATTTATAAAGAGTTAAATATGTTTTTATCTTCTAAAAACTGATTCTATTTGATTTTAATCTCTCAATTTTCTTTAGTTCTTCAAATTTATATAATACTCATTTTTAATTTTTTTTAAACATAGTTAATTTTTATTGTTAAAATAGACTACCTTAGAATCTAAATCACCATTAGTTTTATTGACATGAAACTTTTTAAAAAAAATTACTTTAAAATAATAATTATTTTAGGATTAAGTTAAGATTTAGGATAAAAATTAATTTTACACTTAAAATTTTCATTATTCACTCCTATACCCAAACATGGAAGTTACATAAGTGCTTTATTTTGTTTCTTGTTTCTCAATTTTATTTTCACCCTTGACAGAGGAAGTCAAGGGCCTCTTATTTTTTAAGGGCAGCACCTTAAAATTCAGGAAGGGAGAAGAATGAACATTGTTTAGAGTAATTAGCGTGTTGATGGCTTCGAGAGCTGTTTAAGATGAGACAATATCATCGAAAATTGAGAATTTGGAGCTTAGAAGATTGTTGACGAAGATGCGAAATTGAATGTTTATGGACACGATGATGATAGTGGAGAAAAAAAAAAGCTTACTTTGAGTTTATGAGAAAATTTTATTAAAGTTTGATGAGAAACTCTTTGTTCAAGTAAAAAAAATTATATTGAAACTCTCATACCTACGTTTGAGAGTAAATAATAAAAAACATAAGTATAATATTGATTTTCATCCTAAAACTTAACTAAACCTAAAATAATTAATATTTTTAAATTTTAAAAAATCCATATCAATAAAACTTAAGGTGATTTAAATGCTGAGGTGACATATTTGAATAGTAAAAGTTAACTATGTTTAAAAAAGATTAAAAATAAGTATTAAATAAATTTGGAGGATTAAAATCAAAGAATTTTATTTTTGAGAGACAAATCAAATAGAATCAATTTTTGGAGAACAAAAAATATATTCAATCCATTTTATAAATTAATCAAATACTTATAAGTTAGAAACTAAAATGTTTAAGTTAATTGATTAAATTGAAAGTATTTAACAATTTTCTGATTAATACTAAATGATGTGTTTGTTTATTTTATAAAGAGTGTAAAAAATAACATGTAAACAAAATAATTTTTAAATTAAAAAAGATAAAAAAAATATATTAAGTAAATAAATGAGAGTAAAAGAAGAGAGATAAAAAAAACTAAAATTTTATAAGTTATATCAATTAACTTATGAAAATAAATTACAATATCTTAAAATAAGCTTGCATATTAAGTAAGCTTATTTTGATTAAACTAATTTTTAAGTTGGTTAAAAAACTTATAAGTCTTGTGAAATAAATTCTTATAATGTAGTTAATTAGGAGCAATAATTTGTCATAACAATATTTACTAGTGAAAAAAAAAAACACTTTGTATCTTGTGATAACTTCTTTTAAATACACATATTTTTAGTAAGATAATATATGGTTATCAATAATTTTAAAAATAAAACTTCTTTATAAAAAGACTTTTTTTGTCTTCTGTCATACAAACATATTATTGAAACTCCTCAAACTTAATTAATTTGCATAGAAGCATATTTGGAGTTTTTTAAATTTAAAATTTTTAAAATACTCTCAAATATATAAATTGTTTACATACACTTTTATTAAGGGGTGTTATTATAACACTGATGAGTACTAATAATATAATATTCTTTCACTTATTTCTTAAAGTATATCAACACATATATAATAACTTAATTTCTTTCTGATAAAAAGGTATAGGAATAGTTGAAACATCTCAAATAAAAAACCATTCATTGTACATAAGTGTATGTTACGAAGAGAACTAGACGCAAAATATAAATCAATTGTTTAAATAATTATCAACAAACATTTAGATCAACTGATAAAAAGTTATTTTTCCTTATAACATGATTGCTTCAAGTTCTAGTATAAAATACATGTGGTTTATACAAAATAAAATCATTTTGAATTTAATTAAAATCTTTTTGATGATTGGCAGTCAATGTAAAAATCTTTAAATTAATATTTTATCAAAATTAAATTCATAGTTTTATCATATTGGGATTTTTTTTACTTATATATAATTTTGTAAAATTGAAATTGGAGCTGGCATTCTGGTAAGGAAGTATCATTTCATACAAAAGAGAACTCAAATTCATAACAAAATCATGTATTATGGGTTACCACTTACCGGTTATTCATATTGACTGGGCTGGGCCAGTTGAGAACGCTAATTTTTCGGTTTGGGTTTGGTGGTTCTTAATTGGTGTGTTTTGGATTTCAGTTGGAAGATGGATTTTTTTTTAAAATTTTTATAAAAGTACAATAATGATTACATAGTTGATCTTAACATTCTATATATAGTACTCCAACTCCTCACTATTATAATTATTTTAGTAGTTTAGATCGGAATTGAAATAAAATAAGATAGGATGGAATTTTTTTATGTTTTCTTTATTATAATGATGTAATAAAAAAAAACTGATTTTACATCGCACTCTCAAATTGGGGAGAAAGATTAAAAAGGAAGGGTATTAACTATAGTCGAGATGTTGAATTTCTATTTATTTTTTATTTTTTTTGTTCCTTACATATATCATTCTCCATAGGCAATTATATGTCGGAAGAAAACATTAAATGTGAATATATCTTGTAGCACATATTCAAATCTTGATTTGTTGTGAGGAGTTACCCTCTACACCGGACCCAACCCCTATTAGTGTTAAAGGTCTATTCCATTTCATCTTATTTTAAAGAATCCAAGCAATTGAACTTATTATCATTTTATTACATTCTACTTCTTTATTCCATCACTTTCACTCCTTAGGAAACCTAAGTGGCTCAATGATGTAGCCTGTTTCTAGTAACGGGGTGTGATTTCAGAATCTACTTATCAAAATTGATTTTATAAGAATTTAAACATGCAAAAACAAGCTGTTAATTAGAAAGTAGATTTATTATTCAAGTGTTCACTTTTGGTAGAGAATCGGTATACGCTTCTGATTTAGCGATTTTAAGTGATGCATTGGTGAAATCAGAAATGTGTAGTTGGGCGATGCTTTCAGACGTTTTTTCATTGGTTTTTTTTGTTGGTAATATCAGTAAAAGCTGGTTTGGAGTGTGACTAGCATGTTTTGTTAGTTGTTACCCGTCCCTTGGAATTATAAATGTCGTTCATTTGTAAGTTTTTTTTTTTTTTTTCATTAGCTGTGTAAGTTAATGTATTTATCATTTTTTACTTTAATTAAGAAAATGTATTCTATATATATATATATATAAATTATCTAGCCCAGTTTCGTGTGAAATAGAGGAATCAAAGATACCAAAGTGAGTTGTCATATGGCTCATTATGATCAATGGAAATTTATTTTGTGTGTTGCACCAGTTTAAGAACTAGTGAATAACATACACAAATTGTGAAATTTAAATATAACAGACCAACATTTTTAGTTCCTTTTATTTGTACATGGGGAGCCATAATTACATGTGACATGGATCCTACCTTGTTCATGTTTTACTGCTATTCTCTATTGACTATTGTACATTAATGTTAATCGAAATTTGCGACCCTCATCTTGCTTCGGTGGAGAAGTCCATTGATAATGACAATGTGAAATGCATCTTATTGAAAAAAGAAAGATAGATCCCAGTTACATGTCCTCTGGTAAGCTCATACGTAGAAAATAGAGGCTGCGTATTCAACAATACTAAATTATAAATCACCTTGCAATGCATTGAATAGTTACCAAAGTAACAATAAAAAGTTTTGAGATGATTTTTCATTGGTAATGAGGATTTTAATATTTGATTACCTTGCAGACATGAAAGCCATCCCACAAAAGACGGCCTTAACAGATTGTTTTTGTCCAGCATACTCAAAAGCCAATGGCAACATTTCATGAAGGGTTAGAAAAGCCATCACTCCTCCAACTGTTAATCAAAATACAACTATTACCTAATATGCATAACAAAGTGCCCAAAAACATATTCTACAAATTCTATTAGTGCTAACCTGATCCAAGGATACCTTCAAGAATCTCAGGATTTAGGCTGGTAGGGAATAAACAGGCTATAGAGAAAGGAAGAAAAATCATCACAGTGACTCCAACATATTAAAGCCCACATATCTAAGATAAACTAGAGTGCTAAAAAAGTATCTATGTGTGTGCATAAAAACCAACACTGGCAAATTAAGAGAGAAAGGGATCCAATGTGAGAGGTTGTATATGTGTGAAGCAATGTCCTCGGTGAATATTACGCTTCATTATAGTTAATATGGCAAATTAGTTGTATGGTGCCAAGCAAGAAAAGCAGATCATATACCTACAATTATAACACCCAGGGGCTCAGCAAAGCCAGAAAGTGATGCCAATTTGAATGCCTCCCATTTACTACAACACATTCACAGATGGAAAAAACAATTAGTTATAATTCAAGTTTGTATTTATTCGTATAACTCGTGTACTATAGACATAACAAACAACACCAACCATGGATTTAAGTTCAATAAATAGTCCCAGATGATATTGTTCAACTAAAGAATGACATTATTTCAAATTTGCAATGTACACACACATGTACATATGTCGTGAGTGTCTAATTTGATTTGTACTGCATCAGTATGCAAAAAGTCAAATGCAGGCTGAAAATAATTTCTTGCCATTTTGGTTACTCTGTTTTTGGGCCAAGTAAAAGGAAACAATAAAAAGAACTCTATGGCAGAACTATATAAGGCCCGTATCAAATAATATGGTTGGTTGAAGCAAAAATGAATGGGATGAACATAATAGGTAAAAATTAAAAAGAAAAAATCATGATATGATTATGGAAGAAAATAAAAAGAGAAAAAAACACGTTAAAAAATGTCAGTAAACTATTTCATACTTTTAGCATTCCACAATCCTCAATAAACTTGTACACTTGAGTATACAGAATCCACTAAGTCTTTTGTGTTCTTACCTCTGTGTCGCAAAATAGACAGGAAGCGCAACAGCAACACCCTGGAAAGCATAAGATTGTTATTTTTTTTATGTGAAACAAAAATATTACAATAAAAACAAAACCAAACAAAATTAAACTAGAATGTTGAGAGAGAAGGCATCAAATTTTATAAGGAGCGTTAGTTTTCTCTAATTTCTAATTTTCACTCAATAAAGTTATAGCATATAGTCTATAAACAGGTTGTGTCACATCTCACATGACCAAAATTCATACCTCTGGGATATTGTGCAGAGCAATAGCTAGGGCAAGGTTAAGACCAACACGAATGCCCTATTAAAAGAATCATGACACAATTATCAATTTGAAGAGACATTAACAAACATATTAGATTAGACAGTATAACAAGTAAGACTTCACCAATTAACAATAGAAACCGCGGATCCATATGCATGGCATTGTCAATATGGATATAAATGACTTTTCAATATGAAATTGTACATGTTGGTATGTTACCACCTAAAAATTTTGACAGAAGGGTACCTTCATGGATCCAAGGTACACTGCCATTCCTTCTGGAAAATTATGCAAGCTTATACCTAGGATAAAATCAAAATGAAAATCAAATTAGATGATGAGAAACAAAATTATAATTTCTACCACTCTTTATTGTAAAGTGTTCACACAGTGATATATACCTATGGCTGTAATAACTCCACTGAGTAAAACTTGACGGCGACGCTTTTTCATAATGTCTTTCTTTCCTTCTTTCCCAACTTTCTATTTTCAAGGGTTTTACTACATTATCAGAATTTGTATCTATGTAGAAAATAACATAGCAACTACAATGCTATTTTGAAAGTGCACGAAAAAGCTCCTTAAAACCTTTGTAATCTTGTCATCTGAAGTGGGAGGAGTAACTGTTGGTTCTGGTATGAATTTGGCAACAACAGCAAAAAATATGACACCAGCAAAAAACTAGATGATAAAAAGAAGACAAAAAAGTATATTATGGTCAGAACAAATATGATAGAACATGGTAGATTAATTGAACTATGGTGAAGAGTGAAGAGCACAACATACCCAAAGGTTGCCTCTGAGGAAGCCAAGTGTGTTCAAGGCATTATGTGCGAGATCAAAGAATGATATGCTCAGCATCAAACCAGCAGCAAAACCCTTCATGAAAGAAAATGCTTTCAGAAAGCAAGCTTATGGCTTTAGTATGCATGTTAAGCAATGTTATTATAAACTTTATATATAATCATGATATGTTTAGGGAAAAAAACTTGTTAAGCAAGCTTTGGTTTTAGGGTTTCATAAAAGGGTAGGCAAGAATGGATTGAACATGAACCTATGCAATCTCTAAACAGATAAAAAAGAGTTATTGAATTGGAACGACGAAAACCACCTGTAACAGCCCAAGAACCTTCAAACTTGGAGCTTGACTCATGATTACAAAAAGTGCACCTGTTCGATGTTGAGAAATGTTAGTCCAGCTAGCTCCATAGCTCCATATATAAACTTGAAATAGTAATAAATATAAATTGGGTAGTTTACATAAACGTGTAACCATATTTTATTGTAACCAACGTAATATACATATATAAAGTTCATGCTATTGCTTGGTTTTATGTTTGCCAACACTATCTATGGTAAAATTTGTTATTAGACGAGATGTGTTATTTGTACAATTCTATCTTATAAGTATATTCGAATTTAAAGAAAGAGATAAAAAGAGAAATGTAAGATGAAATAAGTAACTTGATGAACAAAAAAGAGTTGTTAAAGATGTGGCGAAAAGTATGGTGTAAATGGTAGCAAATATATACATGGAAGTGATGGAACATTTAGAAGTTAGTAAAGAGTATAAAAACAAATATGCATGTTGTGATGATGGAATAAGAGGCATGCATAGGTACCGATGGAAGTGCTGAAACCACCAATGGATGAAAGTGCAACACCTAGCAAGACCTGGGAATCCATATGGCAATAAGGAAGAAGAAGTTTTGTTTTTATTGACCAGAATTGGAACGCAAGGAGGAATCGCTGAAATGAATTTTGAAAAGAAGTGGAACTATACGTGGAGTCCACGGGGATGGATGTATTTATACAGTTATTATTATTATTTAATTTTAATTGAAGGTCTTGGTGGAGGGAAAACCCAGGGAGAGGGACAACAACTGAAATAAAGAAAGAGATAAATTGCGTCATTGGTCCACGAAAAGTACTTTCTTCTCTCCTAACTTCTAAATTCTAATTACTACACCTTGCCTCCACAATCATATTCCTATTTTTTTTTATTTCAACATTAAAAGGGGCTTTCAAGGCCCAAGTTTTTTGGGCCTCGAGTTTTTGAAGGTTTCCACAATGGCTCATGATAAACACACCTCCACTCTCCTATAAGCACACCCCCTTTTAAAAAAAAATATATAAAATGTCTAAATTACCCTTAAAAAAAAAAAAAAATTCCTAAATTTACACCCCTCCTTCCTCGCACCCCCTTCCTCGCATCCCCTCTCCCCAAGCAGAACGGGCCGTACTGCAAGCAGAACGGGTCATACTGCAAGCAGAACGTCCCGTACTGCTTGCAATACGGCCCGTTCTGTTTTCAGTGCTGGCCGTTCTGCAGCAAAACGGGCCGTACTGTTTTCAGTACGCCCCGTTCTGCAAGCAGTACGTCACGTTCTTCAATCAGTACGGCCCGTTCTGCAAGCAGTACAGGCCGTTCTGCTTGCAGCAAGGGCCGTTCTGCTTGCAGCAAGGGCCGTTCTGGGGCCGTTCTGTTGCAGTACAGGCCACCGCGTCACTTTTAAAATGGCTACCTTATGACTGATTTTAAAACCCCGATTTTAAAAGTTATTTTTGTACTAATCTTTCTTTTCATAGAACAAGTAAGAGTCTTTCTCATACAAAATCACTTGCCGACATTGCGCACCCCTCTTCTTTCTCTTTCTGGCACTCCCCTTCTTCTTCTTCTTACTGTTACGAAAAGTTCTTTCCGGAATTATATAAAAATGTTCCGGAAAATACTTTCCATAATATTAAATTCTTATTCCGGAAAGTATTTTCCGGAAATATTTTGTTATATAATTCCGGAAAGTATTTTCCATAATATTAAAGTTACTATTACGGAAAGTTCTTTCCGGAATTATATGAACAATAATTTCTATTCCGAAAAGTACTTTCCGGAATGCTAATGACTGTAAAAGTACTTTTCGAAATGCTATGACTGTAAAAGAACCTTTCTTATGCTGATTATGGTGGGACTAGTCCTTTTTTTCTATTCAGAATGACTGTAAAAGTATATTGCTTAATAACATTGAGCGGAAAGAGGCTTTGGAAAATGTGGGGTGTGAAATGTGGGGTGTGGGGAAGGAGGGTGGGGGAAGGGAGGTGTAAATTTAAGAATTTCATTTTTTTTAAGGGGTAATTTAGACATTTTATATATTTTTTTTAAAAAGGGGTGTGTTTATATGAGAGTGGAGGTGTGTTTATCGCCAGCCTTCCACAATATTATGAATGGCCCTTCAACAGTCAAACTTGGATAATTCACGTAACATCAACAGAGCCGGATTTCCATTTTCCACTGAAACGTGCCCTCCTCTACTTTTTGCTAGAATGAATCACCTTTTCTTTTTGGTGAAAAAATATTTTTTGTATATTTTTATATTTCAGGATGCAACCTTCAACTCCATACTTATATTTGAGGATAATATAGTAATTTTTCAAGGTTAGAACATTCAAAAAAAAATATTTTTTATTTTTTTAAATAAAAATTTTATATCTAATTGTTCCGGTCACGGGATGCGCTAGGGTTTTTCCTAGATCAAGCCGCAAAGCTAGAGCATTCGAAAAGTGTAATCTGCCCTCTCAACTCTAGGGTTTTGGGTTTTATGGTACGTCGTTCATGGGCTACTTGGGCCCCGAGGATCAAGGGATTTCCTTAACCGTTAATATTTGGAGAATATCTTGTCATTAAAGATGGGATTTTATCCCTGATATCGGAACAGTATCTATGTGGGAGAGTTAGATCGGATTTTGGCCGAGTTACTCCTGCAGAGCAGACAGGTCGGATTCTAACCGAGTGCACCCATGTAGATGGGTTGGATCGGATTCTGACCGGGACGGTACACTTGCCTTCCAGCCTTGAGCCTATAAGGCGAAAAGGCTTGTAGCTTGGTAACCTAGTCAGGTATTAGCCGAGCAGAAGGTCAAGTCGAATTTTTACCTAAACGGTACACTAGTCGGATTTTTACCTAGACGGTACACTAATTATTTTGTTATCATAGATTTTAAAATTTTTTAGATTTTATAAAAATTATCTAATATTAAAAACTGTATTTTTATATGAGTTAATCACTTATATATTATTGATATAAATTTTTTATATTAATAATCGATTAGAATTATTAATAATATATTTTTTTATTTTAATTTAAATTAAAATAAAAATTCTGATTAATTGTCATTTTAAATTTTTTTTAGAATGAATCAACAGAACCGACCAAAACTTGTTGTACAATTAAGATTATTCTATTTGACTCTCTTTCCTCCTATCCTTTTCACAAAACTGCAAGAACTTTCTCGGTCGTTGCATCAATGGCGGCCTAGCCCAATTCAAAACCCTAACCCCCCCCTCCCCCAATCTCCCCGCGACAAGCCCAAATGGCCTCCACCCTCGCCCTCCGATTCAGATCCCACCTCCGCCTTACCGCCGCCGTCCTCCGCCGGCCTCCCTT